ACACACACACACACACACACACACACACACACACACACACACACACAAAGTTATTGTGAGGATCACAAGAGAAAATGTCTGTGAGGTGCTCTATCAACCTTAAAGTGCCATATATGTGTCAACTATTTTTGTGTGTGTGCTGTGATACTGACTGTGATCTTTGAAAAATTAGAAAACTAGAGATGTGCCGCAAGACACGTGGCAGGCAAAAGTCCCTATTTAAAAAAAAAAGGGGGGGGATAAAGGAGGTAGATTCTTCAAACTATAGGATAGTTTGCTTAAATTTGCTTCCTAGCAAAATTCTAGATTACATTTTTAAAGAGATAGCTCATAGGTACTCAGAAAGGAAAGCCAGTATACTCTGTCAAGAGACATCTAACCTCACTTCCTTTTTTCTTTTAACCAAGGTTAATTGCTTGTTAGATCAGAAGAATGTCACAAACATAGTTTACTTAGATTCCAACAAGCTATTCTGGGGTGGGAAACCTGCAGCCTTGAGGCCATATGTGGCCTTCTAGGTCCCTGGATGCAGCCTCTTGACTGAGTCCAAGTTTTACGGAGCAAATCCTTTTATTAAGGGAATTTGCTCTGTGAGTTTGGATTCAGTCAAAGGGCCACACTTGAGGACCTAGAGGGCCACATGTATACCCCTGTATTAGACAAATTCTCTCATGATAGATGTATGGATAAAATGGACTGGGTGACACTAGTTAGACAGATTTAGAATTGATTGAAGGACTGGACCCAAAGAAAAATGAGCTTTTTCAGAGCAGGGATTGGGTTTGGTTTTTTGTTTTGGGGGAGTATTGCCTTTCTTTGTGTCCCTAGTAGTTAGCACAATGTCTAGTAGATAGTAAGTACTTAATAAAAGGTCAGCCTGGAGGAATGTCCTTAGTGAAGTGCCACAGGGATCTCTCCATTCAGCATTTTTATCAATGACTTGGTTGAAGGTTTGTTTATCAAATCTATGAATAATATGAAGCTGAGACTGGATGACAGAATAAGAATCCAAAAAGATCTCATATGGTTGTAACAATGGGCCAAATCCAATAAGATGGAATTTAACAGGGTAAGTGTTGAAACCCAACCTTGGGTTCAAAAGACTAATTGTACAAATACAGAATGGGGGAGATACAGCTAGACAATAGTTCATATGAAAACGATCTCAGGGTCTTAGTACACTGGCACCTCAATATGCATCAGCAGTGTGACATAACAGCCAAAAAACCCTAATGGCATCATGGGGCTGCTCTAAAAGGAATCAAATTTTCTTGGACAAAGGAGACAATATTCCTGTTATACTATAACCTGCTCAGGCCTTATCTGGATTATAATGTTCCGCGTGTGACATTTTAGAAGGAATGTTGACAATCTAGCATTCGTCTGAAAGATGGCAAGGAAACTAGAAACTACACTATACAGGGATCACAGAAGGAATTAAGACTGTTTACTCTGGAGAAGACAAGTCTGGGTGGGAGGCAGTTTTAAAATGTTTGAAAAGCTATTATGTAGAAGAGGGCTTCGTCTTGTTTTACTTGGCCTCAGAAGGCAAAACAAAGAGTGTTGAATGGATGGAAACTGCGGCAGTAGCTTCAGTTCATATGAGGAAAAACAGCAATTAGAGCTGTCCAAAAGTGGCACAGGCTTCCTCAGGAAGTGGTACGGGGGAAAGAGCATTGACTCTGGAGTCAGAGGGTGTGGGTTCACACCCCGCTTCTGATGCTTACTATTTGTATAACCTTGGGCAAGTCACTTTAAATGGCCTCTGAGGTTCCAGCTCTGCCTCTATAATCATAAGATCTCATCTCAGACTTGACTCCTAACAAAGACTGGATGACTCTTGGTCAGGTACGTTCTAAAGGAGGTTCTGCCTCAGGCATGGACTGACCTAGGTGACCTTCGAGATTTTACGGTTCTCTGAAAAAGCAGCAGAAATTACAAAGTCTAGTCCAGGTGTGGGGAACTTGCAGCCTCGAGGCCACATGTGGCCCTCTAGGTTCCTGAAGCGTGGCCCTTTGACTAAATCCAAATTTGTTCTGTGAAGTTCAGATTCAATCAAAGGACCTAAAGAGGCCAAAATTTTGCCAGGAGAATCATCAGCAATAAAAACGTAATAATAATGGTCATTATAATGTTCAGAAGAGAATATCACTTGGGGGTGGTGATGCTTTAATACTTATCAAGCCACCAACCTCACTAATAGCTCTCCCTGAAGCCCCCAAAAGCCCTCATCATTTGTCCAGCTACCAGTGAGCCTACTGTTGTCTGGGTGAAATAGCAATGGTAAGGAATCGAAGTCCACCCTTTCTGGGCAGAATGAAAATACTTATTACCAAGAATGACCTGGTGACTGACACCTTTAAGCTTTGACTGCAGAAACACTATTTCTTTTATAATCTCTAAGACTAAGTACTTCATACTTTTCCCAATTCTTCAACATCTCCCTAGGTGTTGGAGTGATTTATAGAGAGTGTCTAACAGACTTTTGGTACATCGTGTATAAAGTGCTTATTCACATAGTAGAATGTGTGGAATTTAAGAAATTCACTATTTGGTTTGCAGAGAAAGTAAGGTCTGGTGGCTAAGTCCCATTCTGTAAACAGGAAATATTGAAATTCTATAATTTGAACCCACAAGGAAAAGTTGGCCTCTTGTTCCTCCCACTAAAAGAAA